TTTTTTTGTCGGTCATGGGGACTGAACTCTGGGCCTGGGTGCTGTCCCTCAGCTCTTCAGGTCAAGGCTAGCGCCCTACCACTTGAGCCACAGAGCCATTTCTAGCTTTATTCTGCTTATGTGGTGCTGAGGAATCAAACCTAGGGCCTCATGTATACAAGGCAAGCACTCTACCGCTGAGCCATCTTCCCAGCCCTGTACTGTTTTTTTTTTTTTTTTGTCGGTCGTGGGGCTTGAACTCTGGGCCTGAACGCTGTCCCTCAGCTCTTCAGCTCAAGACGAGTGCTCTACCACTTGAGCCACTTCACCACTTCCAGTTTTCTGAGTGGTTTATTGGAGGTAAGAGTCTCATGGACTTTCTTGCCCGGGCTGGCTTTGCACCAGGATCCTCAGATCTCAGCCTCCTGAGTAGCTAGGATTATAGGCGTGAGCCACTGGCACCCGGCTGTGTACTGATTATTTTTGAGGGAGGGTTTAGTTTTGTGCCCAGGTTAGCCTGAGTTGTAATCCTCCTACTTGCTGGGAATGGCAGGTCTACATCTCTAGTTGTGTGATTCCCCTGTAGCTGGGGTAACAGGTGTGTGCCACCATGCCCAGTCATTGGCTTAGATGACCATGGAAAATCTTCATGATACCAGAAAACAAAATAATTCATTATTTGAAAGGCAGTAAATAAAAAGAAAGAAGCAAACATTTTGCCTTTCCACTGTGTTCTTGGAGTAATTGAAAAGTTGTTAAGCAGAAGTTTCTCTTTATAGAAGTACTTCAATTATCAGGGCTGAGAATGTGCCTTAAATGTTAAGAGCACCTGCCCAGCAAGTGTGAGGTCTTGAGATCAAATCCCAGTACCATTAAAAAAAAAATTAAACACAAGTATTACTTCATGAAGTCCTGATGATTCATGTCTTTAATACTAGCTACTCAAGAGACTGAGATATAAGGATTAAGGTTTGAAGCCAGGCCAGGCAGGAAAGTCTATGAGACTCTCATTTCTAATTAACCATCAAAAAGCTGGAAATGGAGCTGTGGTTCAAGTAGTACAATGCTAGCCTTGAGCATAAAAAAGCTATGGGCAGTGCCCAGGCTCTGCAATTAAGCCTCAGGATTGACACACGCGCACGCACGCAAACACACACACACACACAGACACACACACACACACACCAGTATCTGAAAACATATGCCACACACACACACACACAGACACAGACACACACAGTATCTGAAAACATATGCTAAATTAAGCCTCAGGATTGGCACGCGTGCACACACACACAAACACACATACACCAGTATATGAAAACATATGCTAAGTCATAGGAATAACAATATTTAGTCCTACCTGGAAAAGATCCAAAAGAGGCTTCCAAGACAGCATCAAGACTGCTGCTCTGTTGATGGTCTTGGGGATTTCAGAATAAAATAAAGTATTTTCTCGGTTCTCACCAGACATAGCTATGAGAAAAAAAAACCCAACTATTTGTTATCATTATTTCTTCAAGTAGTATGCTTACTACAATTGTAATTTTAAGTACATAATTCCTTCCATATACTACATTATTATTTTCTATTCTATGGGCTTTACGAATATATTAATAAGGGCTGGGAAGGTGGCTCAGTGGTAGAGCACTTGCCTTGCATGCCTGAGGCCCTGGGTTCAATTCCTCAGCATCACATAAGCAAAAAGAAAAAAAGCCGGAAGTGGCACTGTGGCTCAAGTGGTAGAGCGCTAGCCTTGAGCTGAATGGCTGAGGGACAGCGCCCAGGCCCAGAGTTCAGGCCCCACGACCGGATCAAAAAAAAAAAAGTACACACCCATAATACTAGCACTTGGAAGGCTGAAGCTGAAAGCGCTTGAGGACAGCCTAGGTTACACAGCTACATACTATTTCAAAACAAAACAATGAGCCAAGAGTGTGGTTCAAGTGGTAAAGCAGCCTGAAGGCCCTGAGTTCAAACCCCAGTACCAAAGCAAACAAAACAAAACAAACAACTCAAATTTCTTACAAGGTTTTACAGAAAAATGCTGAGATTTCACTTCGATATTAAGATCATAGTCCCTCAAAGAAACACACATAGAAGTATGTAAGATTAACAGGAGCCAGTGGCTCAAGCCTGTAATCCTAGCTCTCAAGAGGCTGAAATTTGAAGATTGCTGATAAATCCAGCTTAATCACAAAAGTCTGTGAGACTCTATTTCCAAAGTATCCAGAAAAGGCTGGGCTGGAGGTGCAGTTCTAATGGTACAGTGCCAGGTGAGCAAACAAGCTAAGCCAGTGCAACGCCCTAAGTTCAAATCCCAGTATTGATAGGAGCATATAAGATGATGCATATAGAGTTAAACGAATACCATTTGTAGAAAGTTTTGAAATTGGTATCCTCTCCAAGTTGGCAACATACTAAGACTACAGTGTGACTTGAGATACTAAATTTCTTCTTTTCTGATTTTTTTTTTCCCATTTGTGGGCCTTGAACTCTGGGCCTTGGTACTGTCCCTCAGCAATTCAGCTCAAGGCAAGTGCTCTACCACTTGAGCCACAGTGCCACTTCCAGTTTTCTGGTGGTTAACTGGAGATAAAAGTCTCAGGGACTTTGCTGCCCAGGCTGGCTTTGAACCGTGATCCTCAGATCTCAGCCTCCTGAGTAGTGTAAGCCACTGGTGCCCAGCTTTTTTATTTTTTTGTGCTTTGTGGGACTTAAACTCTGGGCCTGAGTATTGTCCCCGAGCTCTTCAGCTTAAGGCAAGGGCTCTACCACTTGAGCCACAGAGGCACTTCCAATTTTCTAGTGGTTTATTGGAGATAAGATTCCCACAGATTTTACTACCCAGGCTGACCTAGAAATGCAATCCTTAGATCCTCCTAAGTAGGATTATAAGTGTGACCCACTGGCCCCAGGCTAAATTTTCTAATTATTTAGAAACACACATAGGTTTAATTGAATAATAATTTCTCTTTATTATAAAAGTCCTATGACCTTTGGAGTCTCAAATAAAACTATAATATTAAAACAACACAGAGCCGGGCACTGGTGGCTCAAGCCTATAATTTATATCCAACAAACCACTAGAAAACTGGAAGTGCCGCTGTGGCTCAAGTGGTAGAGTGCTTGCCTTGAGCTGTAGTGCATGGACAGCGCCCGAGCCCAGAGTTCAAGCCCCACAACTGACAAAAAGCAAAAACAAAAACACCATAGAATCTGATTTACTAAAAATTTTTGTGCATTACTGAGGAAGGGCAAAGGAAAAAGCAGCGTAAACTACACAGAGCCAGGCCTAGACTATGAATTCAGTAATAGCCAAATGAAAACTCACAGTAGTGTAGGACAAAGTACATACAAAAGAAATGGAATGGAATGAGCTGAGCGCCAGTGGCTCATGCCTGTAATCCTAGCTACTCAGGAGGCTGAGATCTGAGGATCTGGTACAAAGCCAGCTCGGGCAGCAAAGTCCATGAAACTCTTATCTCCAATAAACCACCAGAAAACCGGAAGTGGTGCTGTAGCTCAAGTGGCAGAGCACTAACCTTGAGCTGAAGAGCTGAGGGACAGAGCTCAGGCCCAGAGTTCAAGCCCCATGACCGACTAAAAAAAAAAAAGAAGAAATGGAATGGAAAACACTGTTATGAAGATGTAAACCAAAGGCTACTTGAACAAAATGAAATAACGCCTTTCTGCTAGAAGAGGTACTATGAAACCTCATTTCCAAAATGCCATAGGAACATGAAGAAAGGAGGAAATAAGAAATTTTCTCTCAAGTAGAATAGATCTTCGGCCTGCTCTGATAAAGACAACAGAGTGGGAAAGACACAATTACTCCCATACTAACGCTTGCAAAGGTTGAGAATAAGTCCTCAAACAATCATATTTTCCTTTACCAGCCTTATTTTCCAAATCTTTCTTATCTTGTTCTGCCTTCTGAAGTAAAAAGTTAGACAGAACCAGGCATTTGATTCAATACTGATTTTGACTTTAGTCCGTCTTGTGTATTCAGTTGTTTTGTTATTAAGATGTCACCTGCCCCCATCACTCACTGGTTCACAAAATGTGATCCTCTCCTCCTCAAGCCTTCATCTGACCGACAGTTCAATGGGATAAACCAGGGGCCAAACATGAACCCCTACTTATATAAGGGAAAGTGACATTTGATAAAGGTGGCATTTCTGATTATTAGATGGAAAGGTAGATTATTTAAAATATTTTGCTAAAATAAATGCATGGCTGGGGCTGGGAAGGTGGCTCAGTGGTAGAGCGCTTGCCTTGCATGCCTGAGGCCCTGGGTTCGATTCCTCAGCACCACATAAGCAAAAAGAAAAAAGCAGGAAGTGACGCTGTGGCTCAAGTGGTAGAGTGCTAGCCTTGAGCTGAAGAGCTGAGGGACAGCGCCCAGGCCCCACAACCGGACCCCAAAAAAAATAAAAAAATAAATTAAATAAATGGATGGGGCTAGAGATGTAGCCTGGTGGTAGAGCATGTGCTTAGCATATATGAAGCCCAGGAATGGATCCTCCCTATCACAAACTAGTAACTAAACAAAAATAATAACAGGGGCTGGGAATGTGGCTTAGCAGTAGAATGCTTTCCTAGCATGCACAAAGCCTCAGTACCATATAAAAAAAAAAGCTGGAAGTGGTGCTATGGCTCAAGTGGTAGAATGCTAGCCTTGAGCACAAAGAAGTCCAGGGATAGAGCCCAGGCCCTGAGTTCAAGTCCTAAGTTTGGCAAAAATAATCATAATCAAAGTAACAACAATAACTGAGTAACCATCCAAGAAGATTAAGTAGTTCCTCCAGTTCATATTTTATAGAACAATTTTTTTGGGGGGTCAGTCATGGGGCTTGAACTCAAGGCCTGGGCATTGTCCCTGAGCTTTTTTGCTCAAGGATTGTGCTCTACCACTTTGAGCCATAGCGCTACTTCCCTTATGGAATAATTAATTCCAAATGATTTCAAGATTAAAATTGAAGCCATTATAAGTATTGGAAAAAACACTAAAGAATTAAAAAAAATAGTCTTTTGAGTTGGAATATGACACAAAATTACAGAAAAGTAAAAACTACAACCTCACTCAAAAAAAATTTTGTATAGCAAAGGACATTATAGATAAAAGATAAACCAAAACTCAGAGAAAGGAAGTGGTGCTTTGGCTCAAGTGGTAGAGCGCTAGCCTTGAGCTGAAGAGCTGAGGGACAGTGCCCAAGCCCAGAGTTCATGCCCCACAACCGATATTTAAAAAACAAACAAACAGCCAGGCGCCAGTGGCTCATGCCTGTAATCCTAGCTACTCAGGAGGCTGAGATCTGAGGATCATGGTTCAAAGCCAGCCCAAGCAGGAAACTCCATGAGACTCTTATCTCCAATAAACCACTAGAAGTGCGCTGTGGCTCAAGTGGTAGAGTACTCGCCTTGAGCTGAAGAGCTGAGGGATAGTGCCCAGGCCCCCCAGACTTCAAGCCCCATGACCAAAAAAAGAAAGAAAAAACAAACAAACAAAAACCTCAGAGGAAGCTGGGCGCCAGTGGCTCACTCCTATAATCCTACCTATTCAGAAGGTTGAGATCTCAGGATTGTGGTACAAAGACAGCCCAGGCAGGAAAGTCTGTAAGACTCTTATCTCCAATAAACCACTAGAAAATCAGAAGTGGTGCTGTGGCTCAAGTGGTAGAGTGCTCACCTTGAGCTGAAGAGCACAAGGACAGCACCCAAGCCCCAGAGTTCAAGCCCCACGACTGACAAAAAAAAAATAAAAAGCTAAGGCACAGAACCCAGGCCTCAGTACCTGTGCACACACATGCACATATGTTAGATGATCCTAGCTACTCAGGAGACAAGAGATCATAGTGCAAAGCTAGCCTGGGAGAAAGTCTGTAAGACTGTAGTCTCCAATTAACTACCAAAAAGCCAGAAGTACAGCTGTGGCTCAAATGGTAGAATGCTAGTCTTGAGCAAAAAAAGTTCAGGGACAGTGCATAGACCCTGAGTTCAAGCCCTTGGAGCGCGTGCACACCCATGTGCACACACATGCACACACACACACACAAAGTTAAATGAGCCAATAATAGCTACATATACAGAGAACTCAAATCCATTTTTTAAAAAGATTTGCAAATACCCTGGGTTCGATTCCTCAGCACCACATAAGCAAAAAGAAAAAAGCCGGAAATGGCGCTGTGGCTCAAATGGTAGAGCGCTAGCCTTGAGCTGAAGAGCTGAGGGACAGCGTCTAGGCCCCACGACCAGACCCAAAAAGAAAAAAAAGATTTGCAAATAGATCAGGCTCAGAAATAGAATACAGGTGGCTCTTAAACATGTGAAAAGATGGATGTTAATGTAGCCCCTCTGTACAACACCTTACTAATAACAATAGAATTATTTTTAAAAAGATGGATGTTCCACCTCATTCCTAAGAATAAAGTTAAAATCCTTAAGTAAGTCATTAACCAGATTAGAAATTAGAAAGTCTGATTATTAAGTACTGGTATAATTCTGAAGAGATACTTTGAGATGATGCTAGTGGTAACCTAAACCCTATAATCCTCTTGTAGGAGAATTTAACCTTTGTCCGAGGCCTTCTACTCTTAGGAATTAGTTCTCTATGTATATTTATGTAACTGAAAAATGATCAATACATGATATTTATCTTTCCTTAACAGCAGAGTACATGCAAAGCTCCTGGGTTCAATCTCTAGTAAAACCCCTGCCCTCCCCCCACCCTCGAAAAAAAAGTGGATTAATATATTTTATTTAGCGTATTTTAAAGCTGGACTAAATGGACTCAAGAGGAGACTAAGCAATATCAGCCTTGGGTTTAAAAAAAGAAGGCAATAATGGCCGAGAACTTCTTGTTATCCTAACTAGCTTTAGGAAGAATCAATTTTTGGTAGAATTTAAGAGTTCATATTTACTAGGTAAAAATAAGTAGAACATCTTCAAATTTAAATTTTGCTCCCCTATAAAGGAAATAAATCACTGATCTACTTATTGCCAGAATTTGAGTGTGAACTATATGTAATTTTGCCATTTGATTTAACATGTTTCCTCTCAGAAATGAACTTTATACTTACCAAGGTAATAGATCCTGTCCGAATAAGGTCCATCTGGATCATTCCTCCTCACAAACATAAAATCATGCGGGGCCTTAGCCATCATGTAGCCATGATATTTTCTGGTATCAGCAAGCAGCTTTTTCAGCTGACTCCAAGAATACCGTTCAACATAAAAGGGCTCCAACTGAGGGCGATTCTGCAAGTCAATTTGGTCCTCACACTCTGCTGTTTCAAATACCTCAACACCCGGCTGCTCTGTTTCCATTGCTGCTGCCATGTTGCATTTTCCTAGAAAAACAAGACACTTCCATGAAGCTGTTCACAGGGTTGTCTTATACTAGCACAATGACAATCAGACACACAGACACACACACATCAAGAAAAATTGCTTAGCACACTTGTAAAGAAAGCTAGCAAGAAAAGCGAGAGCTCCCGCTTCTCTGTGCTCACTTTAAAAATGAGATTTACAGGAAAAAAAAAAATTGAGGTCATGTCAATTTCACTGTGACTATAAATCCCTCTGGGAACTTTTATAAAAGGCCCTCCTTAGGTATCTCTTGCCAACATTCCTTTTTCTTTCCCACAGTAGAAGGAAACAGGCCATGTGCCAGTTTGCTGCCATGTTCCACCCAAAAGCATGTCAACAGAGAAGCTAAATGTGCCAAGGAAGTTAAGTGGTTTTGCATTTTAAAAAGTAATACACTGACAAAGTGGGTCTATCCAGCTCATAGGAATAAGCACAGTAAATTAGAACAGTAACACACTGTCACAAACAATGTGCTTATAACAACCTTTCTAGGACAATGACCCAAGATAATGTAGTTTTCCTTTTAAATGAACTCCAGCAACAGAATACTCAACTGTCTGGAATCTAATGCTTTTGCCTACACATCATCTCTTAATATTTGTGAGAACTCAACATTTTAGGAAAACTTACATGAGTATTACCAATTTTTAACTAGCAGTTTATATGAGGAAAAATATTATTTTTAATCTTATTAGAAGGTAAGGAATAAAGGATTTAATGTTTATATTAAAACTTTGATAAAAGTTTGCACCCAACCTGGGCGCTGGTGGCTCACGCCTATTATCCTAGCTACTCAGGAGGCTGAGATCTGAGGATCACGGTTCAAAGCCAGCCCGGGCAGGAAAGTCTGTGAAACTCTTATCTCCAATAAACCACTAGAAAACCAGAAGTGGCGCTGTAGCTCAAGTAGTAGAGTGCTCGCCTTGAGCTGAAGAGCTGAGCGACAGCGCTCAAGCCCAGAGTTCAAGCCCCACACCGACCAAAAAAAAGTTTGCACCCAACCTACCAGTTCAACCACCAAAGTATTTGTTAATCTCATATGGTAGTGCACAACTGTATTCCTAGCACTTGGGAGGCTGAGGGTGTTGAACTACTGAATGTTGAACTATTCCAAGATCCTGTCTTAGAAACCAAAACAGGGTGGTAATGGCTCATGCCTGCAAAACTAGCTACTCAGGAGGATATGAGGATGACAGTTTTAAAGCCAGTTGAGGCAGGAAATGTCTATGAGACAATTACCTTGAATTAACCACTTAGATAAAAGCTGAAGTGTAGCTGTGGCTTAAGTGCGAGTGCCAATCTTGAGCAAAAAGCTAAGCGATAGTACCAGTACTGACACATCAACACAAATACAACCTTCTATACTAATAATGCTTGTTTTACAAATCTGAAAGAATTTTTCCCTTATCTTTTCCAATGTTTGCAAGCAAGATGAGTGAAATACCAGCAAAACAAATAAACAAAGTGAGTCTAACTCAGTGATTGAACGTTTACCCAGTTTTTTAAAAGCCCTGGTTTTGGTCCATTACGTTAGACAAACACACACACACACACACACACTCTCTCTCTCTCTCATTTTTCATGCCACCACCAAAGAGCAACATAAAAAGTTTGTAGCAAACTGTTCTTTTTCCAATAATTGTAAAAAAACATGTAGAGCCAGAGTTGATGGCTCTCACCTGCCCACCTGTAATCCTAGCAACTTAGGAGATCTGAGATTGGAGCTTCAAAACCAGCCTAGGCAGTAAACTCTGGGAAACTCTTATCTCTAATTAGCCACCAAAAAGCTGGAAGTACAGCTGTGGCTCAAAGTTGTAGAGCACTAGTCTTTTTTTTTTTTGTCAGTCCTGGGCCTGAACTCTGGGCCTGGGCGCTCTACCACTTGAGCCACAGCGCCACTTCCAGCTTCTTCTGCTTATATGGTGCTGAGGAATGGAACCCAGGGCCTCATGCGTGCAAGGCAAGCACTCTACCACTGAGCCATCTTCCCAGCCCTAGAGCACTAGTCTTGAGCAGAAAAGTTCAGGGACTATGCCAGACTGAGTTCAAGCTCCATGACTGACATTAAAAAAAAAAAAAGCTAATGCCCAAGGTTAACATGAATTCAAGATAAGTAGTGACTACAACACAGGGAAAGTTAGTAGTTGTGGGGGTGTCCACCAGGCTTGCCATTACTGGCAGGCAAATGAACTAAACTCTATGTCCAGCAAATGACACCATCCCTTCCAATAGAACAGCAGCAAAGGAACCAGAAAGCTACCAGTTACATTAGAAATTCATTAAAATGATTAATACTGGACACTGACTTCCAATGATTAAGATTCAAAACAGCCCACACAGCTCAGCAGAGAATTGTCATGTTGAATACTGCTATCTAAATTTCAGCATAAGCTGGGTCGCTGGGGGCTCATACTTACAATCCTGCTCAGGAGGCTGAGATCTCAGATCACAATTCAAAGCCAGTCCAGGCAGGAAAGTCTGTGAAACTCTTACTTCCAATTAGCCACCAAAAAAGCTGGAAGTGGGAATGGGAGCTGTGGCTAACGAAGAGGAGTGCTAGCCTTGAGGTGGGGGAAATGCTCAGGGACAGTGCCCAGGCCCTGAATTCAAACCCCAGGACTGGCACAAAAACAAACAACACAACTAAATCTCAGCACGATCCAAAGCAGTTGTTTGCCCTTCTAAAATCTAGCAGAGGCTACTTCCTACCAAATATATCATGAACTTAGTTTTATAGTTATCAGAGTAAGGGACAAGTGAGAGGAGAATCTACAGAAACTGGTCTCATTTCCTTTTAGACTTTTTTTTCCCCCTGGTAGAACTGGGGTTTGAACTCAGGGTCTTGTTAGCTGGGCAAATACATCTCTAAACCAAGGCCTGCAAGTCCAAGGCTAGGAAACATAACAGAGCCACACAGCAGACACTCTCCAAGTTTCAATGCCCATTTTGTTTTTGTTTTTTTTTGTCATTGTTAATGTTTCTACATACCTTACATTGAAGTAAAATTATCTGGTTATTTCTGAATGGTGTTATGGTCCTTGACTATTTCTGACTCAGGTATACATGCCTGCACATACACCCTATATAGAGCAAATGACATTCTGCCATTCTGGATACTCCTAGTAAATGTTTACTTTTTTCTAGGATAGACCTGGCAATTGTTAGTGTGATTCATTTCCGGAATTCCTTAATTCCTTATATACAGTCTCCAAACACGTGGCTGATATTTTCCCTAAAACAAGGTCACATATGTTGTAATGGATGTATTTCATTGTCTTACCTTCCTCTTCACCATAGATCTTTCCTATAGCTACTGATCATATTCCCACGGGCTCAGATCTCCCACACTCAGAGATCATTTTCAACTGACCCACTTTAAGAATAGATTTCTTCATAAATCTAGCTCTCTTTTCATTGTAATCTTTCCTTTACAACCAATCTTGCCACCAGATAATGAAATGCAGTATGAGACTGTTTATCATAGGGATGGACCTTATTATATGATCAAAAGATTTGAGTCTAAGTCCCCAAACCATACCTAAAACTGTTAAGAGCTGAGTGCTATTGGCTCACATGTGCAATCCTACTTACTCAGAAGGCTGAGATCTGAGGATCGTGGTTCTAAGCCAACGCAGGCAGGAAAGTCTGCAAGACTCTTATCTCCAATTAATCACAGAAAAAGCCAGACATGAAGCTATGGCTTAAGTGGTACAGTGCTAGTTCTAAGCAAAAAATCTCAGGGAGAATGCCCAGGCCCTGAGTTCAAGCCCCAGAACTGGCATGAAAAAAAAAAAAAGAGAATTCTTTGGATGAAACATATAATGGTTAAATTATTTTACATCTGTAATTAATATTATCAAAATTCTAAAATATTATAAAAATTCTAAGCTGGGTGCTGATGACTCACACCTGTAATCCTAGCTACTCAGACTGGGATCTGAGGATGGCTGTTTAAAGCCACCTCAGGCCGCAAAGTCTGTGAAATTTTTATATCCAATTAACCACCAGAAAAACAAAAGTGGAGCTGTGGCTCAAAGTGGCAGAGTGTTAGCCTTGAGCAAACAAACTCAGGGACCAAAAAGAAAAAACAAAAAAAAACACCAATTATTTTTCTTCAGAACTGTATAGCTCTGTTTACTCAAAAGAAAATTCTAACTAGAGTGTGAATCTTGAAGGACTTTAAAAAGTCATAAAGACATACAATTATGTCTATCACAAAACATGAAAAGCCTATTTCGGTTCCCCTTTTGCATGATGCTCCCTATCAAGCTGGTTAGAGCTAGAATCAACTCAACAGGATAAACATAATGAGATCTACAGCCATTTTTGCAGAAAGGGAACTCAGATTTAACAAACTGTTCTGAGACAAGGTCTTGCTATGCAGTCCAGGCTGGTCTCCAAGTTGAGATCCTCTTGCTCAAATCTCCCAAGTGGAAGAGATGGGGGAGAATAAGATGCATTGCACTCTCACAAACTGACATGATAAACTGAAACTTCTCTAGGTCTACTACCTAAACATAATTAAAAAATATATATAAAAAGTCTCCCAAGTGTGGGAATAAAAGGCATGCACTAGGACTTCTCACAAGATGAAGAATGTTCTATTTATTTAAAATGCATTCCTTTTTCCCCCCCTTGCCACAAGTCTATGACAGTAAGATGAGTAACTTTTCTAGAAAAATTCATGGGGATGGAACTCAGGGCCTGGGCACTGTCCCTGAGCTTCTTTTGCTCAAGGCTAGCACTCTACCATAACTTGAACTGTTTATGTGATATTGAGGAATCCAACCGAGGGCTTCATGCATGCTAAGCACTAAGCCACATTCCCAGCCCCAAATTATCATTTTTATGCCATTCTTGGGGCTTGAACTCAGGGCTTGGGCTTTTTTGCTCAAGGGTAGTGCTTTTACCATTTGAGCCACAGTTCCACTTCTGGATTTTTGGTGGTTATTCTGTCCAGGTTGGCTTCAGACTGTGATCCTCAGAACTTAGCCTCCTGAGTAGCTGGGATTATATGCATGAGCTACCGGCACCGGCTCAAGAGAAGGGTAGGATGGTATCTGGTAATTTATCGGCTTCTGTAGCCAAGGTGGATGGCAGAGAGGAAAGATCCTGGTTAAAGCTAAGTGCGAGATGGAGATGAAACTGTGAGCATTAGACTAGCAAAGTGAACAGGCTAAGAAATCAGGACACCACTCTGTAGCACTAAGCTTGTCATTCAGGTTGTCTGGACTCAAGAAAGGGCTTGGCTGGACACCGGTGGCTCGTGCCTGTAATCCTACCTACTCAGGAGGCTGAAATCTGAGGATCGCGGTTGGAAGCCAGCCCGACCAGGAAAGTCCGGGAAACCCTTAATCTCCAATGAACCACCAGAAAACCAGAAGTGGCGCTGTGGCTCAAGTGGTAGAGCGCCAGCCTTGAGCAAGAGAGCTCAGGGACAGCGCCCAGGCCCTGAGTTCAAGCAATTAAAAAAACAAAAAAAGGTTTGGACCAGTCCAATAGCATTCCATAATTTTTTTTTAAACTTAAGGGCCAATCACCTCACGCACACTCCACGCCTCACGGAATCCTACCCCACTGCACCCTCCGGGGCTCACAATTTGGTTCAGTTCTCATCCAGGGGCAAAGATCGCGAAAGCTGACGAAGGAAGAGGAGAGGTGCCCGCAGCAAAAAGGTGGAGGGGGGGGGAGAGAAGGGGGGTTGGGCAAGCGAGGGAAGCCCCTGGCTTCGTGTGTGTGTGTGTGTGTGAGTGTAGGGGTGCGGGGGGAGAGGAGATGCAACCCGGGAAGTAAAGTGTTCTCCGGCTTGCGGGTGGGTGGAAAAGAACGGGCGGAGGACAGAGGGGGGGGGAATGGAGAAGGGGGGGCTAGGAAGAGGGGGTGGGGGTGGGGGGGATCGACCCGAGTGAAGCGGCTAAAAGTCGAGTCGGAAAAACCAGAAGGAGAAATCGGAGATCAGAATCCCCTCATCTGCCCCAAAGCGGACCTCAGGCCAAGTTCTCCGACCTCCGGGAACTTCCGTGTTCTCCTTGTTTCGTGAAGCCGGTCCCGAGCACCTGCGTCCCCTCCCTCCCCCCCCCCCCCCCCTCCCCCCTACGTCCTCAACCCCGGCGGGGTCCAAATGGAGATAACGGACGCGGACGTCCGGAGGGCCGGCGCGCCCGGGAGCGCTCAGGGAACGTTGGCTTCCTCTTCCGGCAAGGGGAGAACCCCCCCCCCCCGCCGCCGCCGGCTCGGGCCCCCGCGCGAGCGGCTCCCCGGGCGGACAGGCCGGGGGAAGCTGGGGCCAAGGCCTCGCGGGCTCCGGGGAAGGAGGAGAGGGGGGCGGATACCGCACCTTCCCCCCAAGCCCCGCTCCCCGACGCGCTACGGAGCGGGTCCGCGCCGCTTCATGTCGCAGCCGCCTCCACTCCGGGTCCCGGTGACAGCAACTTCCGCGGCGGCCCCCCCCCCTGCGGGCGCGGGACTTAAAAGGTGGCGGCCGCGGGCGGCAGAGGCAGCGGCGGCCAGGGAACTTCCGGTTTCTGCAGACCCCACCCTTCCAGGGGGACAGGAGCGGATGGACCAAGAAGGACGCTGTCTCCAGCCTCCGGCTGGGTTCGCGCGCCACCCCGCCCTCTAGTGGTAGGAGGAGCGAAGAAACGAGTGAGAAAAGACGCGAGCGGAGGGGGGCGTGTCCGGGCGGAGAGGGGGCGTGTCCGGGCTGGGAATGGGGCGTGTCCGGGCGGGGAAGGGGCGGGGCCGGAGGCGGGACAGGGGAAAGTAGAAATCGGCCCCAACCTGCAAGCGTGTTGATCCTATTTCTTTTTCAGTCTTGCCAGAAGGGTTTAAACCCAGGGCCTTGCGCTAGCACTGGGCACGCTACCACTTTAGCCAGGACTCTAGTCCAGCTTTTTGGTTTATGTGTGCAGATCCTGGGGCTTGAACTTTGGGCCTGGGCGCTGTCCCTGAGCTTGAGCCACAGCTCTCCTTCCAGCTTCCACCCCCACCCCCTTCCCTCCTTTTTTGGTCGTTAATTGGAGATAAGAATTCTGGCTCGGAATATCTAGTATATGTATGAGTCAAGCGGAAAAGGTCAGATAATGTGATGTCAGGAAAATGAACCCCTAGATATGTATTTTAATGTTTTTTCTTTCATGCATGTGTTTCTAACGCATTTATAAGATTATCTCTT